GGCGGATTCCAGAGCCTCGAGCGCAAGACATGGCGGGCCACCATCTTCAACAACCTGGTCTCGGCCTTCCAGACCATCTACGCAGCCATGCAGGAAGACGACATTGACTTTGAGGACGACGACAACATTGTATGTCCCATCCAATGGCTCCTGCCCAAGCACCACTAACCGACGACAGCGGTACTCCGAGATGGTCAACTCCGCGCCCGACATTGGCACTGAGGAGCCCATGCCCGAAGAGTTCCACACAGCCTTCAACTCGCTTTGGGCCGACAAGGGCGTGCAGCTCACAATCCTCAAGGGCAACCAGTATGCGCTGCACGACAACTTGAACTAGTACGTCCACCTCCTCCGCCTCGACCACTCCCAGGCTAACAATTCAGCTTCTTCCAAAACATCGACCGTCTGTTCCAACGGGACTTCCTGCCCACCGACCAAGACATCCTGCGCACGCGATTACGGACCACCGGTATCTCCGAGACCATCTTCGAGCTTGGCAACCTGACATACAAGATGGTCGACGTGGGTGGCCAGCGCTCAGAGCGTAAGAAGTGGATCCACGTTTTTGACAACGTGCAAGTCGTGCTCTTCCTCGTGGCCATTAGCGGATACGACCACGTGCTAGTAGAAGACCGGAATGGCGTAAGTCACCTTTTAAGTACGCACGCTACGTCCACTAACACCACTAGAACCAAATGCACGAAGCTCTCATGCTATTTGAGTCGATATCCAATTCCAAATACTTCGAAAAGTCGGCGCTTATCCTCTTCCTCAACAAGATCGACCTCTTCACCGACAAGATAGCAAGTGGCATGAGCCCAATCCGGAGGGTCTTCTCCGACTACACCGGCGGGGACCGAGATGTGGAGGCCGGCAAAGAGTTCTTCGCCAACAAATTCCGCAACCTCGTCCGCCAGCCCAAGAAGGAGGTCTACGTCCACTACACCAACGCGACCGACACCAACCTGCTCAAGATCACCATGGCGTCTGTACAAGACATGATCGTCCAGCGCAACCTCAACGCACTGATACTATAGTAATCACGGATGGTCGCGTTGCGATCGTCGCCGTCTTACACACAGCCCAGGAGAGCGCTCGCGCGCCCACGCGAAAGCAGGGGTGCACAACGCACACGCGCCCGCGCTGTCGACCCACCTGCCCTAGAAACGGATAGTCCGCCTGGCGGGACCGGAGTAGCAACGGACTTTTAGTGGACGAGAAGAGACGACTTCCACGGCCCTTTTCCATTTTATACCCCCGATACCTCTTTCTCCGCTTCTTCATCATCTTCGCCAGTACATGACGATCTCACGACTTAATCTCTTGGTCTTGATTCTAGTCTTGATCTTGGTCTCTTTTTCTTCTCTCTTGGTTTGTTTTAGTAAGCGGATAAACGCATTTTGTAGATTCATAGTGTATTGCAGATCTGAGGAGACGAGCATGTCTTGGAACTCGACTGTGGAAAGTTACAGAGGCTGACAAAATCTCCCTCCCTATCTCGGCTTTGGACAACTACCGTTCATTGGGTATTGTGTACCTAGTACTCCTGCGCAGTCACTCACTGCGAGTGGGCAGGGTCATAGATTGGGGTTGGGCAGTGCCATGTCCAAAAAACATATTACATGGCATTGGACGTGCAGCGGGGAATGCAGAAGAGGTACATTTTGCTGCTGCAGTGTAATATCAACAAACCATCTTACCCAGCTCCGAGACATTCTTCATCTTGACGTACTCCGGTTCCCGTAGTTTCCGTTTCCCGTGTCGTTGCATATGCAGCCACTTACATAGCCATGTTCCCATGTCCGGGGGACGCAACTCGCAACTTGCATCATATTTACCCTGATTTACCCACCGCAAGCGAAGGGAGATGTGATCAGGATGGTAAAAAGCCGCAATCCCGCGGGGTTCGTCAACGCCCATGCATTATGCGCCTCTGCGGCGTGGTTGCCTTACAGACCGAACCAGTCGCTCTCGGTCCGTGCCGCTTCAACCCGGCGTGGGACGTTGACTCGCACGTCGCGTCGCAGAGTGGGAGGAGGGTCTATCCCTCCATAATGAGGGAGTGGCTGAGCTGGTGGCTTGGCTTGGATTTGTGGCGTCGGTTTGTGGTGGAGAGAGATGAGATGGGTGGATGTGTACAGAAAAGGGTGAGATGGATTGTAGTGCAGTGCAGTGCGATGTATTGGACATGCGGGGTGGGTGGTTAGGCGCGCACAATGGGATTGTGAGGTCACGCGAAGAGTGTTGGCGGAGTGAGTAGAAGGGTGCTGTTGGTGAGGGCAGTGTGGTTTATCGAGGGATGCGAAGTGAGGTAGTGCGGATGGGGGAATCCCTTGCTCTGAGGAGGGGACGATGCCTGTGAGAGGGCGATAGTAGGCGCTTGCTAACACCATGTGTTGTCGTAGGTAGACACTAAGAGAAGGCCAGCAAGCTAGGTTGTAATATGTGCAAGTATGGCAAGATTGATTTGACGGTGCAAACAGTGCTCTAGCATAGGCAGAACAGTACCTAGGTATCTATTCTATAGCAGACAGCGATAATTAGAGGCGTGTCTATTAAAGTTACAATGCTTCTACAAATATTAGTAGAACATGCGAGAGACACGATCTAGGCCACTCACCGATATCTCGTCACGAGACCTAGGTACCTAGGTAGCTATCCGTGGACGTTCACCGTACTCTCGACCGCTTCACGCTTCTGACATGTGCAATGCTCTCGTGACGGGTGCCGGCTGCCAGTGCTAGTGCCATCGGGGAAACATCGGCGCGTGGGAGCACCTGCAGCAAGTCCTGATAGCCGGCCCTTGAGCCTCATCAACACCATCGTCATACCCAATACCCCTCCACCCAGCTGGCCATGTTCTCGCCCGCTGTTGGCAGAGTCGCCCGCTCTGCAAACACCTTCGCTACTGCGCCAGCGACTTCCTATGTCTTCACCCGCTGCGCCCGCTCTGCGCTGAGCACCAGCACGGCGCCGCAACAACCCTTCCGACCCAGTCACCAGCGGCGCTACTCGTCCTCGAAGCCGTCCACACCCCCGAACAGCAAAAAGAAGCCCACGGAAATAGATCAGAATGCGACGGCAGAGCTCCAGGGCGCCGGCAAGAAGCCCAAGGAGACGAAGAAGCTGAAGGAGCCCTCGACGGCTACCACAGGCAACAACGTGCCCTTTGTACCGCCAACAAACCACCTCCGGGAAGACGGTAAGATGCCGCGGGGATGCACCTTTCCTTCCACATGCTGACGTACTGTAGATGTCAAACTATCTGCCTTCTTCGGCCTCCACCGCCCCATCTCCATCTCGCGCTCCTTCCCCAACGCGACGTCGACCGCCGAATTCGACGCCTTTTTCGACGTGAACCGGGCGAATGACGTCCAAAGAATGGAAGCCACCAAGAACGTTCTCGCTGGCTTCCTGGACCGTGTAAACGCCGAGATCGATGCACAAGAGGAGCAACGAGCCGATGCGATACAATCGGAGCAGGAGGTATACCACCTCGATGTTGAGCCCACACAGCAAAACGTAGAAGACTGGGCCTCTCGCCTTGTTCCCTTCCGAGCACCAGCCGCACCCGAGCCGTACGATGCACTAGCGAGCGCGCCTCAGGCCGAGTCACACTCCGCTGAAGGCCTCTCCGCCAGCATCAACCAGCGCATAACCGAAGTACCGCTGCCCGCGCAAGAGAGGAAGCCAAGCACATTTCGCCAGCACGTTGCGCGACGAAGATATGGCATGTACATGATTAGTGTAAAGAGGCAACGGAAGCTCAAGATGAAGAAGCACAAGTACAAGAAGCTCATGAAGAGGACGAGGCTGTTGCGGAGGAAGCTCGATAGGTTGTAGTGAGTACATAGCGTTGGTGTTATAGACATGCATGGCCAGGTCGAAGAGAATCACTTCATGGACTCGCGGACTGCTGGCCTTGGGACTTCGATGTCGCCTGCGCAGGTGCGAAACCGGTCGCAGTGACCAGGAATAACACCCGCGGCTTAACGGTCGCCTCCCTACGGTTCTTCGTTTGACAGAAGGCATTACGAATTTACTCGACTCATCTCTCGAATCTCGCGCATTGTCCTGGTGTTTTGAGCAGCTTGTTTTGATCGCATATGACGCCAGACGGGGCCGCTTCTTCTTTCCAAATACCACCGTCAATAACCACCATTACGTGCATTTCCCTTGCATTGTGTTTCTGCCCGAGCATCTCGCTGTTTCTTCATGCATCGCAAAGAGTCTCTGAGAATTCGAATGGAAGTTCAAGATGCGAACGCATTGATGATCGGCGCTGTCAAGCGACGTTTGTTGACGGCGGCTATACTACGCTCTAGGCGTAGTCCCGTGTCGCAAAGTCACATGAAACCCCACCGCGACTGAGGCCGTCACAACACCCCCAACATCAGGCAGCACGCACGTCAGTCGACTGAGTCGATGCCCCGCACGGAAGCCTTAACAGACGGCTCCTAAGGCGTAGCGAAGTCGCAGCCCGGCAATCATACGTTCCAGCACGCTCAAGAGCGCATGACGCCTTGGCACGAACACCCCTCTGTCATTTTTCCACTGCGTTTTCACGACCCCGCTGTGTTCTGGGCGTCGGATCGAAGGCGGGATACACGTCTTGGGCGCATGGTTGAGACGTCCAAGTGATCCTTCCCCCAGGCATGGCGCTTGGAGGTGAGTCCCTTGGAGAGAGAGTGGCGGGAACGGAGGCACAGATGAATGTGATATATAAGCCTGGTATACCTCGCCCACAGATTGGAAGGCCAGCAACTTCGACAACAGCAAAGTCAACAGTAGCATCCAGCAAACTCCCCTTCTTTCGCTTCTTACAGCACTTTTTCCATTCTTTCGCCCAGGTCGGCCTTTATATCAACTTCATCTACCTATTACTTACTTCTTTCATTACAAGAGCTAGTCTCTCGTTTTCCTCCACTTTTAACGTTTAACACATTACTACTGTTATCGTTCTTTCGATTCCAAATCACAACCACAACAAATCAGCAAACATGGTTTCCAAGACTTTCATCATCACGGCTATGATTGCCTACGTCCAGGCCCGTTTCGGCCAGGAGCAAGTCCCCATCGACGCTATCAGTCAAGTCCAGGGTGGCGATGGTGGTGCCGCTGCTACTATTGCTGGTGCAGCCATCTCTGACCTTCTCGGTGGAGCAAACTCTTGCGATAAGGTATGTGCTTCTCCACTTGTTTACCATACCTCCACATCCCCGGGTCTCGGGCTAACAAACACACCAGCTCGTCCGTGCTGATCAGATCTTCACTGAACTCGGTGGCGGTGCTGATGCCCTTGCTGCTGCCATTGGTATGGTGACTGCGGAGAAGAACACCAACCCCTTCGCTGGCGGCAACGCACAGAACGTCTGTGGCGATGCTTCGCTTCCGGCTACTGCTGAGCTTCGTGGTATTACTCCTCTCATCGACCCTGACGTCGATGTCAACGGTGATGCTGCTGCCCTTAGCGCCAGCAGTGCTGCGTCTCCTCTTGCCGCTGATGGTCTGAGTGTCTTTGACCTCATGGACCAGGCTGGTCTCGGCGACCTCGTTGTTAGCCAGGCTTCGGCTGGTGGTGCTGCCGCTGGTGGTGCTGCCGCTGGTGGTGCTGCCGCTGGTGGTGCTGCTGCGGGCGGTGCTGCTGCCGACGGTGCTGCTCAGGGTGGCAACCAGGCGGCTGCTGGTAACGGCAATGCCAACGCTGGTAACAACGCCAACGCTGGTAACAACGCCAATGCTGGTAACAACGCCAACGCTGGCAACAATGCCAATGCTGGTAACGGAGCTGCCAATGCCGGCAACGCGAACAACAACGCTGGTAACGCTACTGCTGGTAACGATGCCGCTGCTGGTAACGACAACGCGAACAACCAGAACGACAACGCCAATGCTGGTAACAACAACGATGCTGCGGCTGGTAACAACAACGCTGGCAATGCCAACAACAACCAGAACCAGAACAACAATGCCAACGCCGGCAACGACAACGCAGCTGACAACGCTGGAAACGCCAACAACAACGCTGGAAACAACGCCAACAACCAGCAAGATGCCGCCGCCGGTAACGATAACGCCAATGCCGGCAACCAGAACAACAACAACGCCAACGCCGGTAACAACGCAAACAACCAGCAAGACGCCGCTGCCGGAAACAACAATGCCGGAGCTGATGCTGGTGCCGATGCCGGTGCCGACGCAGGCAACGCAGCAGCAGGCGGTGCCGGCGGCGCCGAAGACTTCGGTCTCTGCACGCCCACCATCACCTTCCAAGGCGGCGAGAACGGGCGCCCCGCCGACGAATTCACCTTCCAGATCGCGGACCCGCTCGCGCGCGGCGGCCAAGGCGAAGCCCTCAACCCGGACATCATCACCAACGCGCTCTGCAACCAGCTGACCAACGTGTGCGAAGCCAACGAGGCTGCTGTGGCTACTTGCGAGAGCGCTGCTGCGGCTGTTCAGGGCGGAGACAGGAACAAGGCGCTTGCTGATCAGTTTAACGAGCTTGTTGGATTCCCTGGTGCGGTTACCAACCCGGATGGTGGTGCGGAGGATGTTGGTGCTGCGGCGAAGGCGAGGAAGATGCGTCGTGGTCTTAGGTTGTAAGAAGGTGGTTGTGATATAGAGGATGAGAGGGGTATGAGTATGAGATGAGAAGATGGGAGTGGGAGAGGTGCTCTGAACGAAATTTAGATGCGAGGGAGGGATGAACGGTACGCATTTTTTTGCTGGATGTCTACTGTTGTTAGAAGTTGGCTCGACTTTTCCTTTTTTTTTATACTGTATTCTTATACCATTTCATTTGCGTTTTACGACGAGTAGATTGATATCGATGAACAAATCTGTTACGATGATTATTGTTTCTCTGTTGCTGGCTTGTGAGTTGCAAATGATGTCTCTCTAGGTCCTCCCTGAACATCCTTTACCTTGTATCATTCGGCTGTTTGTTGGATACTCGCAGCTTTTGTTGAGTGGCTTCATTCGGTTGCTGGTACCGAGGCTCTCCTCAACATCGTGGTGGAGGCGAAGAAGAGAAGGCGCATTTGACCCAGACTGGGGCCTGGCCTTGGTTCGAGCTGGTCATCGAAGACGTACTTTGGTAACCTTGGTGGAGGCAAAACTTGAGGGAAGCTGAAGTCTGCATTCCGAAAGACCTCGCCGATGTTCATACGTCCTTCGTTGCGTTGCTGGTAGCGAACCTCGTCACTTGGGTTGGGGCAAAGCTTGAGGGATCACGAGATCTGTAATTTGAGATACACTGTCAATATTCCTGTTTCCCTTCGCCGACTTGATAGTTCTAGACTCTTAATCCAGTGGGAGAGGCGTTGATTTGAGACGGTCGATATGTCGGCTCTAGATCTGCCTCCTTTGCCTGCGCAGTATCTTGCAATGAGAGGCGTTATCTGGACGCCGACCATATTGTGGTTCTGGACTCGTTTCCTTGTTTGCGCAGTATCTGGGTGCTGAAGGGTCGACCCACCGGGTAAGCTAAGCGCTCTTTGCGCCATGTACGTACACCTACATTGGCAGCTGATTCATGGAGCCATCCGGACAACAGCGCAAGCGGAGATTTCCATACGACGTCGTGTGCCATAATCGTGGTAGGAGGCACCTCGAGATGCAATCTAGAGGAGGCTGTGTAGAGATTTGCATTCGCATGCAGAATGCTCCTACTGCAGTGGATCAGGAGTCCTTTGAAATGTCTCGAGATGTAATCGATGTGTGTGTTCAGTGGTAGCGAAAGGAGCTGCACCGTGAGTGTGCTCGTGGCACCACTTACTCCACGGGAGAAATTATCGGTATCTGTGTTTCTCCTCGGTCGACGGGACCTAACCCACACCCTCACTTCGGTAGACACGCGACAGCTCCAGGAACGGCGAGGTAGTGGCCCAGAACTGAGGGAAAAGCAAGCGGTACCGTTCCCTACATTGTGCCATGTGGGTTCGATCGAGGCTCCGAGTTCCGTTACTCCGCCTCGAAAAAGCAAACAAAGGAACGTGGCTAGACAACGTCACGAGAAAATCTCCGGAGTCTGGAGTTGTCGCAGCTTGCAAGGTACTTGCAAGGTACTTGCAAGTCCTACGATACGACTTCTGTTTGCGGACTTGGACGCAAAACCCGACCGAGCGTCTTCACCACACGGGCTGTGCTTAATCTAATGCAGACAGGATGGATACTTCCTCTTCCGAGAATCCTCCCCGGCATCCCCGCCCTGCTCCGCCTTTACAATTGTGTGCGCTGCTGGCTGTTGGTACGCGATATGCGGTAGATAGCGATGTCACACGCTCATTGGCCATGGGTAGGATGAGGTTACTTGGTGTAGCTGATCTGCAAGTCCGTTGCGATCTGCGCTGCATCTGTCTTCCGCGGAGCTGGTGGGGATGGACGCTCGACTTGCCTACGAAGGCGAGGTGGCTTGCGGAGAGACCCTGAGCTAGAAGGTATGGAAGAAAGGAAGGAGTGTGTGTGGGGATGGTGAGTCTCGCCAGGACCAGGGGAACCATGTGCGCGCTTGGAGTCGGTGAAGTGGAATGAGCTGTTTTGGACAGCGAGACGAGTGTCGTGAGCTGGTTATGATAGCGAGGCAGCTTTGCCGTTCCGAGCAAGCGGCTGGCGCACAGCGATCATGTGTTGGACGATCATTGGGAATTGCAGGAGGCCAAGGCAGAGCTATGAGCGTCGGTAGTCCACGTGTGAAGGTGCTAGAGTCAGTAAATCCCGCTGTCGTTCATTGCTTTTGAGGCGGAATCAGGCGGCAGCCACAGACGCATTGTCATGGCACACAACCCTCCTCACGTCGCATTCGCTTCGATGTGGCGCAACGAGTGCAATGCCGGAGTCGAATGCCTGGCAAAGTGGCTTCGTACGAACTCTAAACGCGAACTTGAGCCGTCGACACCGGATGGGTAGCGCCCGCCCTTGGAGTGAAGCTACTGGGACGTTCGTGCCTGCTAGGCCCGATCTGGGCAAGGGGTGTCATCCAAGATGAGGATCAGGTACGACTGCATTGACTCGACCCACCAAACACGTTTGAGGGCTGGCAGAGCGAGGTGGTTGATGGTGAAGAGCAGCGGCGGAGAGAAGGGCCGCCGTGGCTGGCTCCCCAGCTAGTGTGGCAAAACGGCTGCGCCACGGTGATCACAAAAGCTTGAGTGCCCAACAGATGGACTGTTTGGGTGACAGTGTAAGAGATGCGTTCACTCGACATGACATGGCGGCAGGCCATGCAAGTAGTGCAGTGCTCAGACAGCATTACGCAAAACACTAGGTCCGCATGGGCTTAGGCGCGAAAGTGGGTCCCGATGAAAATCGCGTGCGTCTCGACATGCATTCCTTCCACACAGACAACAAAGCCTGTTAGCCTCATTGCGCACGAGCGTCGTCTAGCATGGCACATTATTAAGAGAAACATTTAGCACAGGGCGAGAAGCCAAGGGAAGCTGAGAAAAAAACTTTGAGACGTGCTTGCTGAGAAAAGGATCACCATCGGTCCTTTACTCGGTCCCATTCCCCCGCCATCCGATTCGCACCGCTGCAACAGGCCCTGATGACGACGTAGGTGCTAATCGCGAGTGTGATTCTTCAGTTCATGGCGAAGTTCCTACCTTACACCTTCTTATATGCCTTTTTTCGCCGATTGAGACGCGGAATACTATAGTAGTCTATGCTTGCCGCTCGCCAACTCCCTGTGGATACCTACTAGATGAATCAGGCCAGCATGACCACTCCGCGACGGAAGGCATGTGTCGAGTGCCGACAGCAAAAGGTACTTCCCCACCTCAATGCATCGCGACAACGTCCGCAATGGCGAAGATGGTTTACTGATCATTTGTTTGCCAGATCCGATGTGATGTCGAGCAGCACAAGGTACCGCATGACCCATGCGGCCGCTGCAAGAAGATGGGCCTCGAATGCCGCATTCTTCCCACATCAACCAGAAACCTGCGCCAAACAAAGGCAGAGATGCGACGCGAATTGGAAGAGTTGCGATGGAATATGAGGCAGGGGCAGAATCCTGGCGATGCAAACTACCCGCAATCGACAGCATCGCCGACCGTCGACATGCAAAACTACGCTCCGCTTGAACACGCTTCGGGCACATATTCTGATCCTTCCGGAAGGACAGATGCATCAGATTCCATGTCACCAGCTTTCGACTCGCGGCCGCCGACACGAAAAGGTTCCGATCATCATGGCACGGTACCGCGCGTGATTGACGGCTACCTGCTCGATTCAAAGAGAATTGACGATTGCTTCACCATGTACGTTGACTCAGGGTGGCATTCTTATCTATGCTAACATGACCGCAGTTACTTCACCCAATACCATCCGCTCTTTCCTATCTTGGACCCTTCAATAGGGCCGAATGACTATTATGACCAATCGCCGTTCTTGTTTTGGACTATCGTGGTCACGGGATCGCGGCGGTACTCTGAACATGAAGTCCTAGAGAGGACGAGCCAACCCATCACCCAGCTCGCATTCTCTTCAATGGCGCTACGCACCTCACAAGTTCCGATCATCCAAGGTCTACTAATTCTGTGCACATGGCGACTACCTACCAACTCAATGTACAAAGATACGACACACCTCATGTGTGGATCGGCAGTGCATCTAGCGACACAGATTGGTCTGCACATAGCAGGTGTTGGCCAGGATTTTGCTAGGACGCCGCTTGAGAAGGACCAGTCACTCAAGGTGCAACGCGCCAGGCTCTGGCTGTGTTGCGTCATCGTTTCCATAAGGTGAGGTCTTCCAAACAAGTAATACTGTGACATACGCTAACCGTATCTAGAACGAGCTGTGTTGAAGGTATACCACCTCTTGCTGAGTCATTCTTCGATGGCGATGAACAAGACCGTGAAGACATGGTTCCATACCTCCCGTCTGACCTGCAGTTCCTGCATAAAGTCTACATCATCCTCATGCGTGCCATGGTTGCCATGGGCAAGACCAACTTACAATCCATTCATTGTGATGTCCGTGTATTACGATCATTGATTGGCATATTCGACTCGCAACTCCTCAGCTTGGCCCCATCCTCTCCAAGTGAACTCGGTAAGTCTGACCCGGCTCTTTCGAAGCTTGAACTAACAAAATAGACACCCTGCAACTTAGCTGTGCACGTATTCACGTAATGGCGTTCCATTTCTTCGCCCACCCTACGAACCCTGGACCCGATGCCGAGGGTCTTTCACGATTCTATTCCCTTTGCATCTCAGTTATCCAGTCCGCTTCGACAATGCAGACGACACAAAAGATCTTCCTACCCTCTGTCTCGCAATCATTCATTGACCGAACTATTACTCTGGCTGGGTTTACCATTCTTAGACTCGTTCGAAGTCCGCTTGCTCAACATCTAGATGTACTTGCGGGCGAGCGAGCTTTCTCACAGGCGTATGATTTTCTCAAGAACGTCTCTTTACAACCAGGAGATATCCATTTCCGAACTGCGCACATCATGAAGGATTTGTGGGGTAGCGACAAGGTGTTCCGTAAGAAGGATGGCCGTGTGGAATCGCTATATCTGAGGTTGAGGACGCGATTGAGCATGAGCATTAGCTACGACATGTTCTGGTACTGGCGAGAAGAGTTCAGCAACATGAAGAATCCGTACGGCGATGAAGTAACTCTTTCACACGAGAACGTCCAACAGAACCCACCTCGTAAGCATCTTACGTCAAGTCTGACGGGCTCTTAACTAACAAACATGTCAGAATACCCATCCCAACAACAACAGCACCCACAGCAGCACCAGCAGCAACTTCCGGATCCATCGATGAGACAGCAACAACTCCCGGTGACCAAATTCGACCCCAGCTTGGTGAATCCTCAGATGCAACAAGACCCGTCCGTAATAAGCTTCGATGCCTGGGAAGGTCCAGACTATGGAGTGCCGCCAATGCTTGATCAATTTCCCGATTACGACTGGGCGGCCGGATTTGAGTTCTCGAATGCGGAAATGCCCAATGTGCCGGTTGGTCCTATGAATCCTATGATGACAGCACCAGGGCCTGGAGGCGCACCGAACATGGGATACACCTACGGTTAGATGTTGTTGGGTATGCGTGAAGGAATGAACCGGACGCGGCGGAAGAGTAATAATAGCGGTTTCTCGCCTGGTGCGGGAGTTGAAGCGTTCAGATACCGTATGCCTACTCAGATACGCAATGCCATGGAATATACTTTACCCCGATCGTCCATTGCAGACGCCACATACGGTCTACGAAGACCTCCCAAACGTAGACATCTGGATTCGGGATCGCGATCGCAGGATTGGTAACACCGCTAGACGATAGTCCAGGAACGGATCGCGGTGGCGCAAATTTTTCGATCGCTTCGATGCAGGCTGCATCTTCCTGGGAACAGGCGCAACGCCAAAGAGCTGGGGGGGTGTGTGCAGGCCTGACCGAACAAACTCCGAACGCGATGGAGATGAATTACCAAGGCGTATATGATAACAAAGGGTCTTCTCTTCCAGTGGGGACAGTCTGACAGGTACAAGACGAACCTTGCAGGGAAAAGCAAAACGTGGGTGCGATCACCTGTAGTGCCTTCATCGCGCAGCCTGACCCTGATGGGCCACTAGCGGCGCCTTGTGCACCACAATCCAAAGGCGTGTACCCAGGTGGAGGAGGAAAGAGGAACCGACACAAAACACCAAAGGAAACCGCCATGCCGGCCGCCAGCTCACTTTAAATCCCAGTCTACCCCTCTCACCTGCGCTCGCTCGCCTACCCAGGAGACTTCGGCATCGGCCAGCATACCCAACGGGGCATTCCATCCTCCAAATCCTATCTCATACGATATCGCCTCCCGCCTCCAACGCGCCGACCATTGACATCGGCGAAACTGAATTTCGCAGTCTTGTCTGACCAGTGAGAAGGGACAAGCATGGCGCTCCTACCGGTCAAACTGCCGGCGAACATCGGCACCACACTACGTCAGCAGCAGGAACAAGGGCTTTGTTGCGGGGGTGGTCACCACCACGGCTGCGGCTTTTCGCTTGGTGTTTCGCGCATCGTCTCGAGGGTGTGGATATGACGTTTGTGGGTTGTGCACTTTTCACTATTCTGGATGTTATAGGGTTGGTTGAATGTTCATCCGAAAGGAGTTTTCGCTTTCGCCATCGCAAAAAGAAGATCTTTTCATAAACGCAAATGGCTACGGAGTACTTGGCCGAGAAAGACGGGGGGGAGGGCATACACGGGTCTGCATATCTGCGGCGTAGCCTCTCAACTGAATGGATTCGGTGTGGTTACTATTTCTTTACCCTCCAATGCTTATTTTGAGATTAGCTATTAGATTTTCTATATAAAGGCTGTAGGAGTTAGGTCCGGTTGGTTGGTAATGATTAGATACTGTTCCCAAATCCGCGGTCGCTTTTCGGGTTGACAGCATCCTAGTTCGCAGGACGGGTACGTAAGGCCATCGCTTCCGCATCTGGTCGACTATTCGTGGGTAGCCCAGCCTTACTTGTTGCGGCCCGCCACAGTGTATACGCAAGACGCCGAGTCTCAGCGGGCTAAAGTCAGGCTGTCGGGTGTACCTTCTTGCTCGTTTTGATGCCTGACGAGGACACTATACCCCTTGAATTGATTGAATTTGCTGCTTTTGGTATTGAGAAAGAGTTGGTTGCGCGTGCACAGTAAAGAGTCGGGTTATCGTTGTTATCGGCATTCTCAAAGCGAAAGAAGAGAAGGCAGTATGGGATCCAGCAAAGCAGGACAAACAGAAAGGAAGATGACGGCCGTCGAGAAACTGCGAAGCATGCTGGCGGATCCAAACAAGTTCCTTTCTTGTCCCGGAGTATACGATGGCTTCACAGCGCGGATAGCCCTCCAAGAAGGCGTAGACTGTCTATACATGGTACGTCTCCCCCATCTCCCCATCTCCATATCCACCAACATCGCCCTCACGATATCAAACAACACCAAACGAACCCAACTAACACATGTCCAGACAGGCGCAGGAACAACAATGTCCCGCCTCGGCGCCGCCGACATGGGCATAGCCACCTTCACAGATATGCTCACCAACGCCACAATGCTCGCCTCGCTCTCGCCCTCGACCCCCCTAATCGCCGACGCAGACACGGGCTACGGCGGGCCCGTCATGGTCGGCCGCACAGTAACCTCGTACATCCGCGCGGGCGTCGCAGGCCTGCACCTCGAAGACCAAATCGTGAGTAAGCGGTGCGGGCACCTCAACGGCAAGCAACTCGTCGACATCGAGGAGTTTGAAGCGAGGATCCGGGCTGCGAGGTTAGCGCGGGAGGCAAGTGGCGGCGACATCGTCATCATCGCTCGAACGGACGCGTTGCAAGGATTCGGGTACGAAGAAGCCCTACGCCGTCTCAGTGCGGCAGTCGCTCAGGGCGCAGACATGGCGTTCCTGGAAGGCGTGACAACCGCCTCAGACGCGCAGCGCATATGCTCCGATCTATCTCCCACACCTTGTCTCTTCAACAGCGTCCCCGGCGGCGTATCCCCTGATTTCTCAGTCGAAGAATGCAAGACCATGGGGTATAAGCTTGCTATTTTCCCGCTGCTGGCCTGCGAGGTTGTGTATCCTGCGGTTAGGAAGGCGGTGCAGCAGATGAAGGCGGGGCATGTGGAGAGTGTGGAGGGGGATGGGAAGAGGTATGGTCCACGGGAGTTGTTTCAGGTTTGTGGGTTGGATGAGTTGATTGAGTTTGATGTTAAGGCTGGGGGGTTGGGTTATAAGGATGGGGCGTGAGGGAGATATATGATTGCTGCATGTATAAGAGAGACAGTGAGGCTTGGAGAGGCGTTGTTCTTGCGTTGGAAGGAGGTGGGAAATGTGCTGTATACCACTCATCGTTTTGAATCTTGGTTTAGTTTCGAAGAACGTTCATTCCTGTTCAAATGCAACTTTCATGGTGATCTCAAGACTCTCTTCCTCCAAGCTACGGTAAAACCATGCTTTACAATACCACACATATTCGCAATCTCCAATATCTCTCTAGATTCCTACCCCTTAGATACCCCACCTCCTCCCAATCCTCTCAAACACCCTCCTCAAATTCTCAATCTCCCTCCTAACCTTCTCCAGCTCCTCAAAAGGCTTACCCTCTACCTGGCCCCTCCGCAGCTCAAACTGCAGCCGTGCAATCTCCTGGATAATGGCAAGGGTGTTGTTGTAGTCTGTGTTCACATCGTGAGTCGCTGCCTCCATCTGCCCAAACGCCTTTCTAAAATTCTCGATCTCGTGCTTGTTGGCAGACGGCATTGTATGCCGGGCTGATAGGTTTGGTGGTGCATGCGTGACGGAGATACGAAGGGTGGGGATTGTATCTGTTGTAGTGGTAGGCCGAGTGGGTGGTGGAGTAGTAGGACGGGTGGGCGTAGTGGTCGGTGCCGAGTCTGCGGTGGATCTTGGTTTTAGATCCGATGATGCTCGTAGACGGGCGTGGTAGTGTTCGGAGATGGGTAGGTCGGCATCGTGATCGCCTTGCTTGGGACCGCAGAAGTAAAGGGTGCGGGTTTGCGTGGAGAGGGCGAAGATGGCTAGGGGGCCAACGACTCTGGAGTTGGTGATGGAGCGGATGCTTAACGCGAACATCTTGGGGGGAGGTTTTGGTGTCTTGGGCTGTTCCTAAGGGATGTTTTGTATTGTTGTAGTTGGTTGATTTGGTAGTGAGCGTTGTCGTAGATTAGTAGGTACAGTTGGCTTGCTACGAAGGTATTTCATGCGAGGAGAAAAATGCGTACACTTTATACGTGTAGGAGTGAAGCATTGCTGTTCACTCGTGGGATTCAACGCACTGACCTGTGGTTGTCCATTGAAGTGATTTAGGTCAGCAATAGAGATGCAATAGAATGCCAATCACCACAGCTTTCCAGTCACGGTACCACGGTCCATCTGCTACACGCCTACAATCATACAGCCAGTGAATGGCTGCCTTGAATAGGCGGTTCTTGGTAGACCTCGACGGATCGATTATCATGCGCTCGCTACCATACAAAGGGGATTTCAAGGCCAACCGCGCGCGTCACGACATGAGTAATGTAATCAGTTTTGTATAGAATAGATTTATGAGAGTAGAGGCCGACGCAGATACACCTTGTCCCTGCAATCCTCCTCAAGCTGCTCAATGGAGTTCTCGCCAATCCAAACCCATTGCCTGCCGTACTTCACAATCTCCTTCTCGTTGCCTTTGCCATCGAGGACTGTCTCCCGCTCTTGGAACTGATGCTTTTCCGTAATATCCTTCCAGCTCTTCATTTTTCCAAACGCCAGATTGTGAACATGTCCAATAGGTCCGGCGATGATTCCGTGAGCAGCGCGTAATTGTGAGATCGGCTTCGGGTACTTCTCTTCGCGCCTTGAGTAGAACAAAAGTTGCTTGAAGTTTTCATCTTCGAACTTCAGATCCCAAACCTTCATCTCTGTGAGATGGGATAGCGGAACGTGAAGTTCGACTGTCCGTCGATCAGCGACCGGACAAGCGTCAGTGATCAGCGATGAATAGTGGTTCGAGACCCAGATCTGATCAGTGAAATAGAGTCCTCCTCGTCTTGCGAAGTCTGTTGGTCCAGTGGACTCCAGTCGTGCAAGGTTCACCGATCCATCTTCGGCTATGCATCCTGCGCATCGCCTGAACTCGACGCTCTTGAACAGCGCAATATGACCTCCAGGTGCTTGAGGTACGGTGTATGGCTCGCCTTCTCCTCCCCTCAGGTTCACTCCCGATGGAGGCGCCAGCTCTTGTAGAATGCGCGCATTCATGTCGACGAGGGCGAGATAGTTGGTTTCGAAGATGTCCTGAAGCCACATCGAGAGTGACTGCACTCCGCGGATCGCATAGTGTTCTTCCTTCATGAGGGCGTCGGAAATCTCTTGCTTGATGCCCACTTCTTGCATTTTCTCTTCCCAGTCATCATCGTAACCATCTATGTCCGCGCAGAGCGAGACCACAGTACCGATTACCCATCTTTGCAAATCGATGCTAGTATGTGTTTCTTGCTGCCTGCGCTGTCTGCTGGCGTACATCTCTTGCGCCTTTTCCGGAGTCAGCCCCATAAACTCAAAGGTCTGAGCGGAGTCGAGTCGAGTTGGCACAGATATGTAGACGATTTCGGCAGAAGCTGAAGATGCGGTTGATACACTTCTTGAAGTAGTCGACGAAGGTGGGGTCAATAAGCCAATAGAAATCTTCCTTGCGCCGTTCTGCTCAGCGCCGACGAGGGAGGAGTCCCGGACTTTCAGACGCTCGACAGTGTCCTCTGGGAGGAGTAGTGGGGATGACATATTTAATGCCTTGTTGAGTTGATAGTGAGTGTAAACCAATCTTGAGGTAGGCAGTTAATTGCTGTGTTGTGAGAAGGAAGAGACGTAAGAGAATAAGGCTGGCAGAGGTTATTTGATGCTCGAAAGTTAGCGCGCAGTAATCTTTTGCTCTCTCACCTTCACCCAAGGTTCTATAGTTGAGTCACCAGGTCAACCATTCGAAAGCGACGTTCAACAGGTTAGAAAATAGACTGTTGCCTAGAGCGAACCAGATTTAGAAAATACGAAAGCTTTTACCTTTCCTAGTGATGTAAAACCATAGCTCTTGCGTACAAACACCGGGTGCCTTCTCATGAAAGTGCGCTCACAGAAACTGCAATACTCGTGGTAGATCCAGCTATGATGACCACGATCAGGACAACGATTGATTTAAAACGGGGATGAACGAACTCCCCACCGACGGCAAATCTGTGACCTACGTCGTGTGTCCGCCAACGCCGCGAAAGAGATTTCAAAGTCGGGTACCCTTGACTCCACTGCACCATCCAATGACGCCGATGCCAAATCCAATAATTGCTCAGGTGACTTCTAGCCGACTCTCTTGTCAGCTTCCTCGTCTGCAGGTGGCGCCGTCTCTTTGGTCAAGTAGTCGGCATCCTCGGCCTCTTCGTATTCTGCAATCAGACCTTGAACGACTTCCTTAGCTTCGTCGAACTCGCCGAGACCATCCTTGAAGGGCACTTCACGCTTGTAGCTTTCCAGGAAGGCGTTACGTTTACGGAGGGTGGAGTATTGTGCGACTATGCGCTTGAATAGCGTGGCGATACCCGTGTGATTTGCGAGCATGAGTCCGGAGACGCGGTGCGAAGAGGTCACGTAGGGCGACTTCTTGGTCAGCGCGACTTGAATGGAAGCGGGGCCCCAGGGTATGAAGGTAGCGAGACGTCGTTCGCGAATGCGCATAAGCGATTTGTGTACCTGAAGTTGGTGAGCTAGATGCATGAAATTAATCTGGAGAAACATACATCTGAGGGATCCGCTTCTCCCTGGATGATGTTCAGGATAGACATGTAGCAGCTCTTCTTGGTGGGGTTGGTGGAGACCATGCGGTTCTTAGGCTGCAACAGTCGTCTCATGACGTCCAAGACGGTTGTCTTGCGAACCGTCTTGGCCTGCTCTACGTTCTCGCCAGAGAAGGGGGTGTATGAAGTCATGAGGAAGTGACAGCGCGGTGTGGGAATGAGCGATGCGACGATGCCAACAAGATCGTTGTGCATGTATCCGGGGTAGCGAAGGGTCGTGGTACTGGCGGACATGACGGTAGACACCAGCTGGTTGGTCTGCTCGAACGACGGGTTCATAACGTGCAGTCGGTCTGCAGCAATCCTAGTCAAGGCTCCATTGTCGAGGACGACCTGGGAGGTCAGTACAGACACATACAAGTACCATCAGGTAACTTACCACTGAGTCTGCGTTCTGCGTCAATCTTCTCATGCTCAGCAGACTGTTGTATGGCTGGACCACTATGTCGCCGTCCTGCGTGTTGGGGAAGACACTGTAGGTCTGGATGAGCTTCTTGGGGAACCTGTCGTTGAGGCGTTCGAGCATGTAGGAGCCGAGACCGGATCCCGTGCCGCCAGCGATGGAGTGCAGCATCATGAAGCCCTCGAGCGAGTCGGAGCCGTCTGCCTCGCGGTCAATCATATCCAGGATGTCCTCGTGCACCTGCTCGCCCATGCTGTAGCCCATGCCCCAGTTGTTGCCGGCGCCGGTGCCATCCTTGTGTATGTAGAAGTTTTCGGGGTTGTAGATGTTCTTGTAGGCGCTCGACTGGATCGAGTGCAGCACTCTGGGCTCGAGATCTAAAAGAATGGCGCGGGGGATGTAGCGGGTGTCGTCGGACTGGTAGAAGAATACGTCTTTGCGGTCGCCGCCCTCGGTCGCGAAGTCCTCGAGGTTGCCGTCGCGGTTGATGCCGTGTTCCTGGCACAGCTGCTGCCAGAACTGCTGCCCGACGCTGTTGCCGCACTGGCCCGCCTGCAGTGTTATTATTTCTCTGATACAGATTAGCTACACCATGTGACCGCAGTCTGAGATATACGCGCGCGTACCTAGGCATGGTGGTGGTGGTCGGCGACGTGGTGGGATGCAGACGCGCTTTGGGCGGGGTGCACGCGTCGGGTCGCCAAATGTTTGGACCCTGCCGTCATAGCTCTCCACGCAATACCACCCAACACCATGGCCTTCACTCCACCATGCCAATCCAGATACTCGCCACTCTCACGACGACACTATCACGCCAACCTAGAAAAAAACTGAACACCCTGCAGTCTACGTGAACGTCGCGTCACCTACTTTGCACGCTTTTGACTTGATGTAGTCTGCAGACCTGTTCAGTTTTTTCCTTGTATGAGGTGCTATGTCTTCTGAATGTTGTTCTTGATATTCGCGTACTTAGTCTATTGCTCCTCCTCCTCTTCCCTTATCCTGACTAACGACTTGCCCTGGAACCCAAAATAACACTGGAACAAGAAGGTATAGATCATGCAGAAGAAGTTATACCGCAGCACATCCAGCCACATCAGCAGCGTCACGCCGTCCTTGGTTCCCTCGTGCCATGACCTCCGAACCTCCAGAAATAGCTTCGGGTCGTCCGTCACCACGCCGTCGAGGCCCTGCCGTATGTCCCAACGCATCCGGCTCTCCGAGTTCACCGTCCATCCGTACACGGGCCGACCGTCGCCCTGAGCTCGCCGAATGAACATCTTGCCCCATGGCGTCATGAGGATGGCCTGGGCCATATTGGACGAGACGTTCGGCACACTGAAGAAATGTGACGCAATGAGTGTTGAGAAGCCAATATGCGAAATCGAGAAGCCGGGCAGATATCGCGAACATAGCGGAAGAAATTTGGCTGCCCAGCACCCAAGCACAATGCGCTTACTCCACGGTCTGGATGGAGCAGCAGGCACGCTATTGATTGTTTCACCAATCAAGCGCATCACATCGTCGGCATCGTTATCGAGCTGTATCGCGTCAGCAAGTGCTTGTACAACTCGGCTAGCACAACATACCTTGATATCGAGCAATACCCAGATGTCTTCCAATCCAGGTTGCGCAAGATATTCGAGCAAATCAATAAGACGAGGCATCGGCTCATGAGGTGCTTGCAGCGTTCTCAGCTTGCTTATAAACTCATAGTCGCAATCTATAACTTTTTCGGGCCTGCCAAAGCATCTTCTCAAGTTTCTGTCCTACAGAATGGTCAGTATACGATCGGGGTAAGATCTGATAAACTCACATGCGACAATACGACTACACCGTCCTTCGTCAGATGAATGTCTGTCTCAAGAGCATCTGCGCCTGCCTCGACCGCTCCTCTTAACGAGGCCATAGTGTTCTCGGGGTGCTTGGCCATGTACCCTCGATGGGCAATAGCCTGCGGTAGCCGCCTGCCTGACACATCTTTACGCGCAAACGCAAACGTAGCTATCCAGCTGGTCAATTTACATTCGCCACCAGAACTCAGTAGGTTTCCTACCTGCGGGGAACTTGGTCTTCGGGCCGAGTAGTGGCTGCTCTACAATCTTGTCGAGCTGCTTCGTGAGGCTCTCAAACACCGGCGGTACTCCTACAACCATCTTTTTCTTCTCGAGCAACGGTGTTTGCACGTCGAAAGCGCTTTCGGTGTCTATCCTGACCTCAGACATGACGATGTGCTTCTAGCGTGGCGGTTCCGAAAGCGGACGGAGCGGAAACTTTGGGTAGCGTGGTATTCGGGCAATGTACAGCGAAGGACAACGAACGAACGTATGCGCGACTTGAACGTGAGGACAAAAGATACAGATCTATAACGGCAAACAAACACACAATCTCCCTCTCCACACATCCACCCGCAAGGCAAATTTGCGGCGCGGGATCTCTACGATCCATTCCCTACGTTCGGCCGCCGAACGCGCCCTCTCTGGCCGCAACACACAACAAAAATGCGCCGTGCAGCAGGACCCATCATCCCAACCCACACAACTGCACTCCAGGATACCGAATCCGTCCCAGAATCAGCCACCCACATTACCGCAACGGGCATAGGTAGCTGCAAATTGCAGACGGATGGAGACACAGCCTGTCCCGCATTGGCTGGCAAGCCAGGCTAAGCTTCGTTCCAAGATGGAGCCATCGAGCTCCGGATGTATCAGCTCCCGGGCGCCACTAACAGTTGGAGTTGCAGGTATGCAACCCCCCTTGTCTCAGCAAGTTACGTGTCAGATAACGCGATTGTATGATGTGTTATTAGAAAGTGGGATTATCCCTCTCCCTACGCAACATCATGCGTCTTTTACCGCCCGGCGTAAATGGACACCGCGGACAGCGAAGGATGGTACTGTCAAGCTGTCAAGGTTGGTGAAATTCCATCAGATCCGGTGCCGTGGTTGATCTACCGCTAAATGCGCGTGGCGCGTCGATCAGGTCCTGGCTAGCTTGCCTTGCGTGCAGCTGCGCACGCATGCCGCACGGGTTTGCTGTCAGGAAGATGACTTTCCCGTATGCACGGCACGTACATATCATCCTGTTGTATGCAAGGGTTTTAGTAAAAATTGCGCATGCCGTTGACCGCTCGGGCGTGGCGGCGCGGGCATGCGGATGTTCTAAGATTACCTATCTAATCGCTTCACGTGGATCTTGCGTGTCTATCTGGATCCGCTTTTTTCGCAGACGCGGGGCCGATGCGATGTTTGTTCGCGCGATGTAGTGGTGATCTTAGTATTCTGGCGGCGTGTCTGAGGCCATCTTTGGCGAGGGCGCGGAATTTGGAAATAGGCTGGTCGGTGGCCTTACTGATACCTACCTCGCTAAATGATCCCAAGGCCTTGTATACTCATTATACTGAGATGAACCGGCATAGTTATGTTTACGGGCATGTACGCCAGATATTGTTGGTGTAATATGTATTGTTCAGGCTAAGATCTTGCTTTCAACTTAGGTACCCAGGTACTACTTCCAAAGCCTCACGAGAGCCTCTCAGCTCACAGAAAAACTGATCGTCTGAATTTGTCAAGTCCGTCTAGTCCTCAGAGCCGACTACAATGGTAGCCATCGAAGTGTGTACTCTTCGTACTGAATCAGGAGCATCTCGCGCGTACAGCTATGGAGCGCAGGCTGTTTGACTGTGTTTGTATCGTCTCCCGCGGCTATCAGATCCTGGAATCTACAGAAAACTCCATCAAGTCGAGCCCTCCAATTGAAGAGATGAGTCTCTTTCCTCGTCAGCTTGGATCCGTCCTACTAAACTGATTACAGATACGAGAAGAGTGTGGGGGCGAAGATATCCTTCAGCCTTGCGCGATATCTAATCCGTACCCGGGTGGCTCGTGCACCAGGGTCCTTCACAGTCACTGTGGGGTAAACATCACGATAGCATGATCTATCAACTTCACGTCAACCAACGGAAAATTACTAGGTACATCTAGTCTTAACAACTGTGGCTTCATATGCTCTCTCATTCAACGATCCTTCCACGCTGATAAGGCTGAACGTAGGCAGTCCTTGGTATTGCACCTGTTTGTGACATCACACCACTTGCGCCCGTCAGCACTTGAGCATTCCTACGCAAACAGCTAGCCGATGCCACGACTTTGACCTAGTTTAAAGACCGGCCTCCCAGAAACCCGGGTTTAGAAGCAATGACCAACCCCTAGCATACCGCGAGCTCCGCGGCGGCCATCATGTCTTCGCTACTAGAGTACCGACCTCTAGCGGAGAAAGAGTTTCGGCTGCTAATCCTCATCCCTGCCGTATCAATAACCGCCCCACTGCGAGTGCACGTCTTCCACGACAACGTAGAACACCCAGAAGCGTCCTACGCCGCACTTTCGTACACGTGGGCGTCCAAGCTTGAAGGCAACGACGACAACGATGATTTGCTCGAATCCGTGGATGTGGACGGACACGAGACGTTCCTCCACCAGAATCTAGCCAAAGCACTGCGGTCTATCCGTCTCGAAGTCCCGCAGTGTATCTGGGCTGATGCCCTGTGTATAGACCAGAATAACATACCTGAGCGCAACATCCAAGTCACGCTCATGCGGCAAATCTTCTCCAACGCGACGAATGTGTGGGCGTGGCTGGGTCCGCCTGCCAAAGGAAGTAATCTGGCCATGGACTTTCTCGCCAACCTAGCTAGTCGTTCTAACGAAGAAGGTATCGGACCGTGGCTTGGAAACGAAGGCATGCATCCGGATACATACCCCACATGGGAAGGCCTACGGGCCCTAATGGCGCGAAACTGGTGGAAAAGAGCATGGTTGGTACTATCTCTATACAAACAGCATATGAGACATTGACTGACTTCGTACACCCACCTCACAGGATAGTACAAGAGTTCGCCCTAGCCAAAGACGTAGTCTTCATCTGCGGCACGCGACGTCTCTCCGCCGACGCCCTAGAAGCAGCCGACCACCTCATCTTCATGGAATTCACGCCCTCAAAGAACGAGCGCGTCACCGCTCTCACACGAGCCGTAGACATCAACCCACGCGTGCTAGACCCAGCCCGAAACCTAATGAACCTACGCCGGCGTCTGCAAGAAGGAGAACAGCTTTCCGCCTTGGCCACACTGCAGATGACTAGACTGACCAACGCGACAGACCCGCGGGATCACCTATTTGCCAAGATTGGACTCAGTGGACGCGAGTTGATTGAGTTGTGTCCGCCGGATTACGATGCCAAGGCCGAGGACATCTGGTTCACGTTCCTGAAAGAGTTCATCAAGCAGAAGCAAGATCTTTATGTCGTCTGCCTTGCGGGTATGCAACCGAGGGCGTATCATGCGCTCCCTTCTTGGCTCCCGGATTGGGGGCCTTCGAAACCGCAGTATATGCTTACTTCGCTGTACACGGGGAAGCAGTGGCCGTTCTTCGATGCGGCGGGTGGCGCGGCGGCTGTTGCGACTATTTCGAGCGACAGGATCGAACCTGGCATCTTTCTGAGGTGTAAGGGAGTCGTCATCGATACCGTGGATGGTGTCGCAGGCGATCCATGGTGGACTGACAGACCAACGTCTCTCCGCCAATCTCGATGCAAGAAAAACGCGTACGGAACACAAATCGCTGCCTTTGAAGCGTTGGTCAGGACAATCACTGCGAATACGAATCGCATGGGTGCGTGGGGCGCACCTCCTCCCGAATTCAAAATCGTCTTCGCGAAACGGTGGCATGAGCTGAGGGACACGACAGCACCGTATGAAGCTGACAACACTCTCGATCGGCCTCTTCCCTTCTACATGCGAGCATCAGGTTTCGAGCGTGCGTGGCGCAGTATGCGAAATCTGGAGTTGGATGGCTTGGAGTTACATGAGCATGTCGAGGCTGGTTTGGTAGATGCACAGAATAAAGCGCAGGCGTCGAGTTCCCGAGAAGGCTCGGGAGAAAGAGGGGGATTTGATTTCTCGGTATCGGCGCCGTTCCATCCATTGTGGACTGCGCTTGAGCATAGTGCTGGGCAGGTCTGCTATGAGAGGTTTGTTTATACGACTGAGGGGGGTTATCTTGGGGTTGGTTCTTCTACTGTAGAGCCTGGGGATAAGGTGGTTGTGCTACTGGGCTGTAAGGTGCCGGTCGTGTTGAGACCGCTTGAGAAGGGGTATCAGCTTATTGGGGAGACCTATGTGGATGGCATCATGTATGGTGAGATGACGAAGGGGTTAGGTGAGGGTATGTCTTCTGTGCCGGTTGAAGATCTCGATCTTTTCTAGGTGTAAATACTCATCGAGTTGTACTTCGTCAACCTTACTTTGTCTGAAATATCAGCGCGTTGAGGACACGACGAGTGCTTCTCTGTGTTCGTTATACCGCTTCAACCCATGAAGGTATTAATATAACATGCTTGCAATGTCGTCTATTTGTTCTTATAATATTCCTTACTTTCATCATCGCTATCGGATGCCCACGTACTGGCAGCCTCCAAGTCTTGCACCGTCGGATGCTTCCACATATTCGTGATTTCTCGTTCTACAATCGTGGTATCCCGCTTATCCTAAGTAGCGCCGTCGAATGTTGTCGCTCCAGGCCTGATATTGGGCTTACGTTCCATAGCATCCACGTCTTGATACACCACTCCTGTAGACACCAAGTGCGCAAAGGCGTCCTCCTCCTATGAAGCAACCTCGAACTTTGGTGTGTACTTTGCGGCGGCACTGGCAAATTCGGCCTTCTTGCTCGCCCAATCTGCGACTGCCCTGTGCTGTGGGGCCGATGTTTGCAGCTGTGATTTCAGCTGCTCAGTCTCTTCCTTCTTTCCAAGCAATGTGTTGAGGACGATGAGGTTTGCGATCGTGTCGGCTGAGGTGCCGTCGATGGAAATGGCTTGTTGGAGAGCGGCTTCGGCTTCTGGGAGGCGGCCGAGGTGGATTTCCGATACGGCCTGTGCGACGAGCGAGTGTGGAGAGGTGGATTGAGCGGTCGTGGCTAGCTCTTCGAAGACGTAGAATGCGGACTGATACTTCTCGCCGCCCTGAGTGGTGTTAGTGCCATGACATGTGACAATGATGTATTAGGGGACCTACCTCGCGCATGCCAACCCAGCTCTCAGCAATGTTGACTAGCAGACTGTCTTGTGCCCATTTTCGTGCGCGCTGAGCCTCTTTTGCGGCCAGATCTGTGCGGTTTTGTTGGAGGTGGATTTGTACAATGAGTGCTACGCTGTCCGAAAGTTAGCCGTGATTGTCCAAATCGTCCATGCAAAGGAAATGTTCAACGTACGCATCCAAACTGCCCTGGTGCTTGCTCAGCACATCAAGCGCAGCCTCCGTCTCGCCCGCCCTCTCCAAGACGATGCCCGCGCAAAGCTGCACCGTCAAGTTCTCCTGTCCATGTTGCTCTGCCAGCTTCTTCGCCTGGTCCACTACGTCTTTGCCCCGCTCACAGTCTGCCAGTAGCTTTACTGCGACCAGATCTGGAGTCTTCTCGGATGCGAGCTCGCTGGAAACGGCTTGTGCTTGGCCCAGCGCGATTTGGCTGCGGAGTTTGAGGACGCGAACGGGCAGCGCATTTGACGCGGAAAAGGACGACGTGTCGAAATCGAGGACTTGCTGGTAGGCGCCGGCATGGAAGGCCGAGTGGATGTTTATGAGCTCTGGACAGTCGTTAGCGGGGCTTGAGCTGGCGTGGCCGGCGCTTTGACGAACCTCCTTCGGGCGAGTAGGGGTCCATGGTTGAAGTATATGTGAGGTGACTTTATTGAGTGAGCGACGGGAAGATTTGGTATCAATGGGCTATGGATTGGAGGTGCAATGGTGTTGAAGCCAGATTGAGTTTGGCCTGTCTGCTCGGACCCTGCATGACGCTCATTGGCTGCTGCTCCGCAATCCCCATGTGGCAGCCACCATCATGTCATCAGATAGAGGGAGATGCATACAAATGTACGTGAAGCAATGACTGTATCTATCAACACCATATACTACCCTTAACGACAAGCCGCTACACCCGACGTACAGTAAAGGTCATGAACCTTGTACCGGCCGGCACAAGCGTCGTCTTCATCCTCTTCGATAGATCTTCTTCACCAAGCACAGCTTCAGCCTTCCATTCCGTTCCAGTTTCCTCCCCAACCTGCTCCCACATCTTCGCCCAGGACTCTGGATTGTGCCAAAAAGCAGTCTGCTCTTTCATGAGGTGTGAGAAGCTGCCGGCTTCAGGCTTGCCACCTTGGCGTCCAACGATGAGACTTCCAGCCACTGGCCTCAACAGTTGGACCACGCGCTTAGCTGCTTTGACCTGACCGTCCCAATCAAACAAGTGGAAGAATGAGGCGGCATTGATCATGTCGATCTTGCCGTTTACCTGCTTCATCTCCGAGTTGGCGTCGAAGATGTCGGCTTCCATGAAACGTGTCTGCAGAGTTGACTTGTCAAGAAACAGATCATAGCCAAAGCCCCAGAAGTCTGTTTTGACATCGGACGCGTACGTGTTTTCAGAGGGTGCGCCGTTGTGGACCAGCTTGCGGATGTCCTGGCCCATACAACATCCAAGGTCGAGGAATTGCTCCCCGTCCTTGATGCGACTGAGGACTTCCTGGTAGGCCGGGTTCTTCTCGATGGAAAAGTTCAAGAAACCCCAATTTCCCAAGCAAGGATACGGGAACTACAAGATCGTTAGTACAGCTCGCTCTTGTTGTGTATGGCAGACTAGACTCACGACCGAGAATGCTTCATCTCTCACACGTTTGATATGCGTGATGATGTCCGCTGCTGGTATCCTGCTGTAACTTTCGAACAGATCTCTCGTTTCCGGACTAGGCTCTTCAAGTTGCTTCGTGTACCATGGTAGTAGCTCAGGATCCTTCACATATGCCTTGGTCGAGACAACTTGCTCTACTCTGCTGCGTTCCTCCTGGGCTGGGTCTTGCACTAGGACGACTTCGGTCATGTTTGGGCCGCTTCTGAGTGATACCCAGTGGTAATGAAACTACGTGTTGATCTCATTGTGAGCGTTGCGTCCCGGCTCTTTATGCTCCTCCTGCCTGCAGTCTACACCCATTTGCGTGTTAGTATGAACCTTGCAGGCTGACGGCCGCCCTCGTTGTCAGCACTGCTTTAGCCACCCTCTACATCAACTCGGTGTCGCATCCGCGCCGTCTGCCCGCGAAAATCACGTAAAGGAGGGACGTGGGATGGCAGCATGAAGTGCAGAGGTGAGATGGAGATAATGCTACCCAATGTAGATGCCTTGCGGCTGGACCTTCCCGGGATGATGGTGGGGGATGGCGGGGCAGGTACGGCGCGCGCGACCAGTGACGTGCATAGGCCTAGAAAATTGTGCCCAACGCAAACACCAGGAAAAACTCCGCCAACCTGAAGGTCCCCATATATATCCGGCGACAGCTCTGTCAATCTTCTGTTTACTCCCGTAGATCACCTTTACTCTATACTCCTTTTTCTACACACAAACCCTTCAAGATGCCTGCCATTGAACACCCTACCATCAAGGGTAAGTAGACTTGACTTTTACAGCAGTCATACAACCACACCCTCTCAATTGCTGACATTCGGTATAGATGGCTGGTTCCGCGAGATCTCCGGCATGTGGCCCGGTCAGGCCATGACCCTCCAGGTCAAGGAGGTTCTTCACCACGAGAAGAGCAAGTACCAGGACGTCCTCATCTTCGAGTCGACCAACTACGGCACCGTCCTCGTCCTCGACAACGTCATCCAATGCACCGAGCGCGATGAGTTCTCGTACGTCACAACCAGATGGGAAAATGCGGACAATGGCTAATAGTAGAGCAGATACCAGGAGATGATCACCCACTTGGCCATGAACGCCCACCCCAACCCCGAGAAGGTCTTGGTCATCGGCGGTGGTGACGGCGGTGTCCTCCGTGAGGTCGTCAAGCACGACTGTGTCAAGGAGGCCACTCTCTGCGACATCGACGAGGCTGTCATCCGCCTCTCCAAGCAATACCTCCCCGGCATGTCTGTCGGCTTCGAGCACCCCAAGACCACCACTATCGTCGGCGACGGCTTCAAGTTCCTCGAGGACAAGAAGGGCGAGTTCGACGTCATCATCACCGACTCCAGCGACCCAGAGGGTCCCGCCGAGGCTCTCTTCCAGAAGTCCTACTTCGAGTTGCTCAACGGTGCGCTCCGCGAAGGCGGTGTCATTACCACCCAAGGTTGTAAGCCCTCTCCTAGTCCGCTCAGTTCACGTCCACTTTTCGACCGCCATGCGCCGGAAAGGTGCTGCTTTGGTCAATGGCTAACGTTCTTGTATAGCCGAGAATCAATGGCTTCACATGCCCCTCATTGTCAACCTCAAGAAGGCTTGCAAGGAGGTCTTCCCCAACGTCGAGTACGGTTACACCACCATCCCAACCTACCCCTCCGGCCAGATCGGTTTCATGGTCTGCAGCAAGGACGCCAACCGCGACCTCAAGAAGCCCCTTCGCAGCTGGTCTACCGAAGAGGAGGAGCAGCTTTGCAGGTACTACAGCAAGGAGATCCACGAGGCGGCTTTCGTTCTGCCCACCTTTGCTCGCAAGGCTCTCCAATAAGCGTCTGGCTTGTCGAATTTCTTTTCGTTACGACCTCACTAGATACCACGATATGTGATGAATATCAAAAGACTGTAAAGTCATACCCAACGAAACATCGATACTTTCGACTGCATACGCTCAGGCATGATTGTTCTGCTAACTACTAACGTTCTACACCAAGCCGGCGACATGACAGCCACAAGCGTCTGGTTACTTCTTGCGCTTCGGACCGCACCCCACTTGCCAGCGCACAACAATGTGTCCAGCTTCCAGGACATCGGCAGTTGAGGCTCTCGGACGCTTAGTGAGAAATGGTGCCTGGGCAGGCTGTTATCATGCGCGAGTTTCAGCAACCAGCTTGAGCTCTGAGGCAAACACACAGTCGCTGGCCTGTGAGTGGACGGGAACGACAC